TATCACCGTGGTACAAGGAACCGGACCATAACAGTATCATAGTCTAAATTCTTATGGCTTTTATTTTTTATTTTTTTTTTTTTGTTGGTTAGTGAAAACATTTCTAATTCTTTTCATTGTTACTATGAAACCTTTCTAACCTTCACCCTGTTCTATTATTTATTTCAATAAACAACTTGGAGATTGAGTGCCAAACTTCAACTCAGAAACTGTAGAGTTTTTTTTTTTTTATTTGATCATCAATTTTTCTTCCTGCTTCTTATCACTATAATTGTTTAGTTTGCAGAAAATCATTACAACTAAGCAGTGAGGTCAGGGAATGTTGTACAGCTGAAACCTTGCCCCCATGTGTGTGAGCTTCAAAAGTAGTTGGTGCTAAAATACAATCTGTTTGCATATACTTTTTCTCTCCTCTTATTTGCTTCCACTATGTATGTTATTAGTGTAAAAGGATGTTTTGATAGACTTGTTTTATAAATCATCCTCACAATCTTACAAGTTATATAAATAGCCTTTTCTCTATATTCTTTACATATTTTTTCTTTCAAAACTATACTGTAGTAATATTTCAGGCTAGATTAATTACAAATAAACAAGAATTTTTCAAAGAATAATTTTTACTTATACACATTTTTATTAGGGGATTTGTTACTTACTAAAAATGTCTTGTTTGGATGATGATCCAAGTTAACTATTACAGCATTTGAATGAAAATAATAAAAAGCTTGTTGAAAATCCTACTATTATTGAGAACTCTGGTGATCCTTCTGATCCCTCAAATTATCACCTTATTTGTCTTTTTACCTCTTTTTTGGCAAAGTACTAAAGGTTCTAATCAACTTCAAATTGGTTAAGCATCTCGCTTCACATGGCCTTCTTTCAGATAAACAATATGGCTTTCAGTTTTCTAGGTCAACCACTAATGTGTTAATGGTTATTATTGAATTTGTCTATCAGGCTTTAGATCAGAATGGTGAGGCTTGGGCTGTTGCTTTAAATATCTTGACAGGCCTCCTCAAGCTTAAGAGCTATTGTGTCTGATTGGCTTAATTCAATCATTCTTAACAAATTGTGTAATGAAGGTGATGTTTGAATGGCCATGTTTCTTCATCAATAACTTTCCCAATGTCATCAGTTCCCGGCTGATGATACAACTATTTATATTTACTCCCGTCTTAGTAGTAAGTCAGAAAGGTCTGACAAAGTAAAACAGCTATACTTGAAAATAACCTTTAATCAGTTTTTAACTACAACAATGAATAGCTTGTAAATCTTAACACAACCAAGCTAAAGTCTTTTCATTCTTGTTCAGATCCAGTAACTCCTAGCATCTTAGTGACATTATTGCATTTACTTACTTGGGGTGAAATGATTAAAATAAAAAAAACAAAACAAAAACAAAAAAAAGTGGTATTCATATTTATTTTTATCAGAATTGTTTCTTAACAGAAAATTAAGCTATCATGATAGTCTTCATTTTAGTGATTAGTTTGAAAGGTATACTAATATATCTACAGGAGAGCTGTATATTAAGTTTGTAAAAAAGAAAAAAAATCATCATATGTAACCATATAATCTAAAGCACAAGAAGATGCTAATCAGATGCTTTTTTTTTTTACCTCCCCATCTTTGTAAATCTGTTACATTCCAGAGAAAAGCTGTCAGCTACTACATTTTGCCCAAGGGTGACTTGGTATGGTAATTAAGAAAGTCAATTGCACAGCATTTGGTTTTCTTAATTATTCTATATGCAAACAAATTCCATTTTGTGTATAAATTTACTTAATTTTTTTTCTTTGGAAATAATCCAAATTCGACTCTTGTCTCCACATTCCTGAGAGTTTTGCAAAGTTTAGCTGAGAGGCAAAAATTGAATTGACCATTATATCTTTAATTTTCTATTTCCTTATAAACGTAAACGTTTTTTTTTTTCTCGTTATAGCTAAAGATAAGATTGACTTTTTATATCTTTTCTTTATTAATAAATTAAATGTATTTGGTTGTAATGAAGAAAAATGTGAGATGTGAGACTTGTTATTTTTAATTGCTGCAAGATGGTTATGAAATAATTTAATCCTACTTTCTTCATGGGTTTGTTTTCATTCTCTTTTTCTCTTTCAATCATGCTTGCACTGCAAAATATAAAAAATGCAACTTCCATTTTTTTTAATTGTAATTTTCACCTATTTTGCAGGGAAAAATATTGTTTATTTTTGTTATGTCCTTAAAACCAGCTATGATATGGAACAAGTTATACAAAGCTAAATTAAAATTTAAACTTGTCGAACTAGTGTGAAGGAAAATTTAGATAATGACACAAAAGTATGAGACAGTCTATAAAAATTTTCATAAACATGTTAATCAAGTTTACATAATTGAATTGACCTCTGAATTTTAATTTTTTTGTGTGTACTATTCCCATATTTTATAAAAAAAAAAAAAAAAAAAGAATTTTCCAGAATTTCTTCACAGATGAAACATTGCAAACTGCTTGCTGCTCTACTGTTATTTTCATGGAAAGTGTTCAGGCAAACTAGTTAGTCCCACCAGTTCTAAACCATCATGGCTAAGACCTGCCATGCTATGCACATTGTAGTGAACCACCCTCATTCACTTTGTATTCTATTGTTGAAATGTAAGCTTTTTCCATGAACCAATGGATTTAGAGGTAAAAAAAAAACTCCCTGCACCTGTTTTCAACCTCATCCACATTGTTGGACCTCTGTCCATGTAGGAAATTAGCCATGGCTCAGAAAAGTGGGTAATCTGATGGTGCAAGTTCTGGACTGTAAGCAGCTTGAGGCAGCACTTCCAGCCCCACAAGTTCCTTAAGTTTGTGCTTGGTTACATTGACAGTATCTATTGAAGCATTGTTGTGCTGTAAGAGTACAAGTCTTCGATTGACCAATGCTGGGTAGCAGGCTATCAAAGCCTTATATACTCGCTACAGTTGTTGAGCATAAGGGTCAACATTCACAGCATAACCATCTGAGACATTGAAGGTTTAACACTCCCTCAAAATTCTTCCAAACACACAACACGACCTGTTCAAACCACCCTTGTTTGACAACAGGTTCTGAAGACTGGCTGGGACAAAGCCACTGATTTCTATTATTAGGATTACAAAAATAGATCCATTTATCAACCCCAGTTACAATATGATGCCAAAAACAGGCATCTTGGGAATTTGCCTGCAGTTATTTGCAAATGTTCTCATGTTGTTGAACCTGGTCATGGGTCAGTTCATGTGGAACTTCTTGACACCGTCTGTTCACAAGGCCAAGCTTATGGAAGTTTCAGTTGATAGTGCTTTATAAAGGACCAAATTTTGCCGACAATATTAAGAGTGCTTCTGCTTCAAGCAAGGTCTCATCTTCCACAACAGAAGGTCTTCCTGACTTTGGTTTGTCTTTGAGACTGGTGTCACCTTCCTTGAAACTTGTGAACCAGTTTTGTGTCACACGATTGTTGACAGTTCCTGGGCCTTCCACATCATTAATTTCTTTTGCTGCTACCCTTGCACTCAATCTTTTTTTTCACAGGTGGCATAAAATAGCTCTAATTGTAATTTTTTCACCACTCTTTATCAACATAAAAAATATACAGTTAATGTTTACATGTTATATATGAAAATAAATAAGAAACAATTCAGCAACAATTAGATAAGTTGTATCAAATTAATATAACATGGATATGCAAGTTGCTAAAAATCATCAGTAAAAAAAAAAAAAAAAAAAATCTTTTTACTTAACCTGGTATGTAAATTTTTTAAACAAAAAAATGGCGAAGGATTTCTTTAAATTGTTTTGTTTTTGATAAGAACAAAAGCTAATAGCAGGGAAAAAAAACGTTTTCAAACTGTAAATTTGACTATTGATTAGAAATTTGTTTTGCATTACTGTATCATAGATAGTAATGCTACAACTGCACTAATTGATGAAAAAATCAATGTCAAAATGGAAATTAATTCATCAAATGAAAGTTTTTTATTGTACGAATGACCAGCATGACCACTAATTAGATTATTTTATTTTTATTATATTCACTAGATAGTGATATTTTTCGGGGTTTTTTTTCACTTGTAATTAATGCTTTTAGTTGAATCCATGGTGTTAGGTTAGGGCTTCTGTCAGTAAATGACAATAGCTTGAGATTTTTAATTTTCATTTTTTGCAATTAACGTGGGGTTAATATATTTATTTAATATGTTGTGTCTAATATCAAGTTAATGTTGGTAGTTTTAGTAGTTAATTTGATACAAATGTAAATGAATGCATGACCAAAGTATTTATGTAAAATTCTTTAAATTACAGATGCTTATATTTTCAGCATTTTTTTTACAAACAGCCACTTCATGTGAATGTAAATACAGTGTGACTAACAATTTTAAAGCAAAGCACAAAAATAATTTTTAAACTTTCTCCTGTCAGGAGTCCTATCACCCATAAGACTCACAAGGCCTTTACATGGACTTCAACCGTAGCAGCAGTGGTGTGTATTGTACAAGACAGCTTTGCAAAGCCCAACTCTTTTTAGACTAGTTTTGACTCCATTGTTTTCCTTCTCTGAGATTGGTTGCCATTTCAAGGCAAATGAGCCTGCTATTTAACTCATAGTTGGAGGAAGATGGATTCATGCCTTTTCAAAAGGCATTAGCACAAAGTGGACAAAACAGAATCTAGCAGGAATTGAACTCTACATGTCAAATTCACTTTCAACACTGCTAACCTTTGTTATCTGTACCTCCTTTTTAAACTTACTGACACATGATTAATAACAGCATTTTTTGTTAATTAAACATTGATTATTTAAACATTTTTTGTTTAATTAAATATTGATTATTCACAAAAATAGATGTTGGTATTAGAAAGAGACATTTCTCTCATGAGATTATGATGGTTTATGATATCAATTTGTTATAGAGCATATATTTAAATACAATGTAAATTTTAAACTAAAAATAAAATGACTTAATTTTTCTTTGCTTTTTCTTCTTACAGTACGTTGTTGAGTGCCATGCCCAGACATTGTTACCACAATACTTAGGGATGTACCGGGTTACTGTGAATGATGTTGAGACCTACTTGGTGGTCTTAAGAAATGTATTTAGCCCAAGGTTGACCATCCATAAAAAATATGACCTGAAAGTGAGTATATTAATCTATATTGTTTCCAACTAAATTGCACATATAAAGTTAAACAAAAATTGTATTGGGTTTATTCCAATATGAAAACTGAACTTTAATTCTTGACGTCTTCTTTCTTTTCTTTTTTTTATCAATTCACCCCCAAGTAAGGCAATAAAACCACTAAGACACAAGGGGTTACTGAGTGTGAAAGAATATGAGAAAAAGAAAATATTAAGAACAATAAAAGAACAGGAATTAAGAAGATAAAAGATAACAACTGACATTGCATTTAAATTTTTGAAGATCAAAGTTGACTAGAAAGCAAGAAACCAGAAAAAAAGTTCCACAAGTGATAAGTGCGAGAGAAAAAACTGTTAACATAGAACTTACGGTTACATCTAGCAATTTCAACTGTAAAATGATTGAGATCATTGTTAATAACCAATGATGTGTTTAGGTGGGCTAGCAGCACCATACTATATGAACACATCTCACACCATTATGGAACCCTCACCACCCTGTTCAGTGCTTTATTGAAAACTGTGGTCTATGACCTCATGGAGTCTACACCATGCCAGAACCCTCCATCCTCCCAAAACAACTGGAACTGAGTTATTGGGACACTCCACAATTTGCTAGTCCTCCAGAGATCAGTTAGTGACATCACTAACCCAGGTACTGTATCCAGTATCATAATGTTAACAGGGCCACCCTGGTGGCACTTCTGCTCCTATATTATGTAGAAGCTAAAGAACACTAAACTGTGTTGTTGGGTATGCATATCTGGTTTATTCTGTATTAAATTTGGATGTGATTTGAGCCAGTGTTACCTGTTTGTTAGTGCAGACAATTCTAATTTGATGATTATGATAATAATCTTTAAGAAAACATACTTGTCTATCGTTAGTGATAATGCCTTGAATCAAGTATTCCCAGTACACTCATGACACTATAGATTGTGGGATGTCAAATGTCCCCACAATTCATCTGGCACCCACTAAAATGTCTCAATTGAACTCCAATGATTCATGTCTCTTTGCTGTAAGTAGCTGAGCTGGTGTTCACACTGACTTATCAGATGTTAGAGCACAACTGATATAGATTTTGGCATTTCCATGATGTCAAGGTACAGTGGTGCCACCTCCCATTACCTTTATATACTGCTTCCCATGACTTTTGGTACATCAGTGTATGTTAGTGTTGAGACAACAGTTAGCCTAAAGTGTCTCAAGAGAAAGAAGATCTTCGTATCTTGTGGACTGGTGCTACAGAGTCATAAAGAACTATATCAAATAGCAGAAGCTGTATCACTTGAGGACTTTCAACAGCAGCAACAACTAAAATGAATAGCACATGTTATTTGAAGAGAAAATAATGACATAATTATTACTTCCAATAAAAGGTAAGGAAGAATGTTAACAGATACTGGAAATTAGAAACCTGTTTTCCTGAAAAAATGTTTTAATAGAAAGATTTTATAAACTTCAACCAAAAGCAGCACTGGTTGCTCAGTCAATGAATAATGAATGTTTCCTTATAATGAAACAGCTAATATTAGCATTACCACTTATATCACTGACTTTAATAGATTTCCTAATATCTTCAATAAACCTTGTTTCAGTCTGAATATATTCATAGTAGTGTTGGCACAAATTGAATTAATCACTTTTGTTTATAGGTTCATGAAAAGAATAAAAAAAAATTTATTCTTTGAATAAATGAAAAGTTTTTTTTTTTTTTCCATGAATATCACTATGCAGGAAAAATGTAGCCATAAAATCCATTGTGTATTTGAGAGAGAAAACTACAGCCATAAAACTAGTGTCTGTAATGTCACAGTCTTTCAAAATTCAGTTTATTACCTGCAACATATTTCTCTCCCCCGTTCTGTCTGTAAATCTAACATGTTCCTTCCAAATAACAGCCAGATATAAGGAATTCTTAGAATATTGGTGGTTCCATTGCCATTTACATTATAAATATAATTTGTGCAAAAGGACTGAATTTTAAAAAGTAAATGAAGATATTGTCTTTTGCAAATGAGCAGCTTTACTCACCTAAATCAAATAATTGTCAGATTTTAAAGTGTAGATTACTTAAAAAAAAAGAACAAAAACAGATATATTTATGTGGGAATAAGAATAACAACTGTAACTTAATATAGTTCTTTTTTCTTTTTTTCTGTGTTCCTCAATTTAATGATATAGAATTCTGTCCAATTATAGTAATGATATTTGAGTCAAAGTCCACTTGTATTAATATATTTAGTAGCATTGCGTCATCAAGGATATTCTGGGTTATTTTCTCTCCTGTCTTGTATCAAAGTGTAGTATCTGTGCACTCAGTGAAAAATCTCACACATAATGCATTTTATGTATATATAGCCATTTGAAATTGTAATATAAGCAATTTGTTTACACAATTATATGTAATTCCTTTTGTACTGTGACATTATATCTGATATAATTGATAATAATTATTATTTAATTAATAAAATTGGCCTTTTTTCAAATTCATACTTGCTTCATCAATACATGTATATGTATTGGAGTAATATAGAGAAGATTAGCATGCACCAGGATGACATTGCCCATTAGTGAAGCATTCCATATTTGTATCTGCAAGCTCAAATAAAATCCTCAGCCATATCTACTGGTATAATAAAAAAAAAATGGTTTTCTACTTCAAACCCTTTTGTTCTCATATACATCTATAGTCAAGTATTTAATTTTGTTTCTCAGAAGAAAATATGAATTAGAATAAAATTTACCAATTGGAAAAACAAATCAGGACCCCCACCTCTGCTTCTAGTGTGCACATTCACACTTTTTTTTTTCTTTCCTTTGAGTTTTCACATTATTTCCAGAAAATTAATACTTTTAGGAATTTAGATGGAAATTTTCAGGTGATGTTTTCTTTTCTTAATCATGTGAAAAGCTAATAAAAAACATAACTCAGTTTGTCATTCAGTGAATTATTTATTTAAATGTTTAATTTTTTTTTTTCATTTTTGTAGGGTTCAACTGTAGACCGGCAAGCAAGTGACAAAGAGAAGGTAAAAACACACATTCTATTATTTTTTAATTCTCATCTTGAAACTTATTAGCAGTATATAAAGGTTTATGTACATGTTTTTTTTTGTTTTGTTTTGTTTTTTTATATTCTACTCACATAATGAAGTCTCCTTATTCAATGATGCTGAATAACATTTAGAGAGAATGAAAAAAAGTGTGTGCTGCAAAACAAAATTAGAACTGGCCAGAATATTATAGCTGCAAAACAGCTTTCTAGGCATTAGAACCTATTTTGTTATTGCATTCTGCTTTCTTGATTACACTGGGGATCATTTTTTTTCTCTCTCCATTTTTTTTCTGACAACTAAAGTATAAGATTTACTAGACAGTTCCAACTGCTCTGATTTTTTAGTTAGATTTCTTTCTTTCTGATGAATTCCCTCTAACCTCAGTGTAATGATTGTATTCAAAACTTTATAGCTATTGGCCTTTTGCTCATACACCTGGACTATCAGTTGATATTCATTATCATATCTTGTCATCATTTTCATCATCACTACTTTTTAAACTTTTTATTTTTTTATTTTTGAATTCTTTTTAATTTTAAGTAAGGAATTAAATATACACTTTCCTGCTGTGTGGGAAATATTTTATTATTGGTAACAGTATTTTATTTTTTTTCTTCTTTCAGGCTAAAGATCTACCGACACTAAAAGATAACGATTTTGTAAATGATGGTGTGATAATTCATATTGGAAGTACTGAGAAGGAAAACTTCATGAAAAAATTGAATGCTGATACAGAGGTAATTACTCAATAAAATTACAGAGAATGAACTGGGCTAATTTACTTATTATATCCTCAAAGTCAAATCTACTCGTATAATTCATCTGACCAGAATTACTCCCTTTATCTTCCATACTACCTCCTCCATATCTTTTTTTCCCTTCAAAGAAGTAAAATTCCAAACATATGATAGGTTTTCTTTTTTAAAGAATGGTACACCAAATGTGTTTGGCCACAGAAGTTTCCAAATGTAAATGAATTTGCATAGTTTTTATATATATATATATATATATATATATATATATATATATATATATATATATATATATATAATAATCTTATGAACATATTATATGGGTACTATGAAATTTAACAGTGAGCCAAGTCCAAATTTTAGTCTAGTTTGTTGCATTCACTTTTGTACTAATGCCCTTGGGAAAGGTATGAATCCATTTCTTCTCCCTCCAGCTATGGGTTAAATAGATCAGTAGACTGGTTCCCTTCAACTGAAATGGAAATGGAAAGCACTTCACTATTTTTATCAAGAATTCATGACACTTCGGAGATAATTAAGGCATGGAATCTGTAGAGCTGTAGAGAGCCATAAACCTTCAAAAAAAAAAAAAAAAAAAAAAAAAAGTGTGGTGTACAGCTAAAATATCTACTCTGCAAATAGTAAGGAAATAATATATTTCAAGGGAGATCACTGTTAGTAATTAATTGAAGATTTACATCCCTTGAAATTAAAACTTAAAATATCCAGTTTATTATCGAAAGAATTATTTGACATCTTGTTTTGAGTTGTGATTTGGATCCTCACTTGGTGCCACATCAGAAAGTTATCATTTCGTGGGTATCGACTATTTTTTTTTTTTTTTTGCGATGTTAGAGTGAGTTGAAAGACTTTGTGATCGCGAAAAGTCGTTACCACATCACTCACTGTGTAATAGTGTAATATATATATATATATATATATATATATATAAATTCAGGGTTATCCTTCTCCTTGACCAGTTGCCATGCAAGGCTACAGAACCCAGTCTGTCTTTCTATTTACCCATAGCTGGAGGGAGAAGAAGAAGATTGATACCTTTTCCAAGGGTATTAGCACGTAAGTGAATGTAATGGATTCAACTGGAATTCGAACTCAAATCAGCAGAGGGGCGTCTGGGGACCTTGTGGCACGTAGTGCACCAGATCTCTTTATTTGACCCTTCAAAAAGTGTGGTTGGTTCTGCACAAAGCCTTCACCACTATAATCAAATCATAAGTGCTGGTGTTTCGTCTCTCAGTTCCTAGGTACTGAGCTGCTTGGCCCTCATACGTCAAATATGACACGAGAGTTTTGCAAAGTAAGCGAACACAGTTTTTCATTTTAACTAGTACTTTTTAAATATTAACATTTTTATTCAGCAATTATGTAATATTTATTTTTTATTTCATACTTTCTTAATTAGATAATTGTTCAAACTTTTTTATTAGATAATAATTTTTTGAACTTTTTTAATTCGATAATTGCTTAAAGTTTTTTATTAGATAATAATTGTTTAAATTTTTTTAATTATATAATTGTTTAAATTTTTTTATTAATTATATAATTGTTTAAATTTTTTTATTAATTAGATAATTGTTTAAATTTTTTTATTAATTAGATAATTGTTTTAAATTTTTTAAGGATTATGTCATGTATACATTTCCATACGTAGAAATTATAAAGTTTTTGAAGTCTTAAGAAGTTAATGAAAAAAAATTTAAAAAATGGATAAAAATTTGTAAAAATACATTATTCATTGAAAAAATTTTATTTCTTCACAAAATAATGTCCTTAATATAATGTATTTACAAAAGCAAGTCAAAGCTTTTCTAATTAATTAATGTCAGTTTTTTACATTTTTTTTTTTTTTAATATAATTCTGAGCAGATTTTCTATGAAACAGGTAACTGCTTTACAAAAAAAAAACTGGTGATTTACTTTCTATAAAGCGTCCTGTTTTTAACTAATAAAACAAATCCCATGCTTGAAGATTTAATTTCTCGAAATTTCATGAAAATATGTAAGGGGGTGGAAACATGTTAAAAAAATATCTTTTTAACAAGATTTTCTAAAAAAAAAAATTTTCAAAAATAATTTCATTCTTTTCTGAATAAGTCCTGAAAGTTTCATTAAAATCTGACAATTATTTGATTTTTTGCAAGAATTTCCTAATCAACATGTGTTTTCCTCAGAAAAGCGCAAAATAAAACAAACCTTTTTTTCTCTATTATTGCGCAGTCATTAAAAAAAAAAAAAAATTTTAACCAAAATTTTCTACGTGTCAGAAAGGAGTAAAAAAATTTCAAAAAATAATAAAAAAATACTTTGGTCTTTCCTCTTCATAACAACATAAACATATTGAGACAAAACTTTGTTTTTGTTGATTTATGGGCTTTTTTTTCATCGTGATATGCTGCTTTTTTACGCAACCTAGTGGAGGTACCTATATATATATATATATATATATATATATATATATTTATTTTCTCACCAATAAGTTGAGAAGAGTTTTTGGGGGTTTTATAACAATAATAAAGCTTCATATTTAGCTCTGAAATGGCTGAATTGAAACCCTGGTTATTGCCACTGTTTGGTGCTACCATGTGCAAAGAGTCCAGTATCTTACTAAAATCTGTTCAGTATGCGCAAGTATTTTAGGTTCAGTCCTAAACCCAGACAAAGGTTAAGTTGTGATTTTCTGAAAACAGTAATATATGTACTGATTCTATATTTATATTTTCTTAAAAGCTTAAAAGCTGCAAGTCTATCTTAATTACAAACTGCACTGTCTTTATGTATCATCCAAAGTGAGTGTATTTGTTATTTCAGTTTCTCTCCAGTTTGCACCTGATGGACTACAGCTTGATTGTAGGAATCCATGATTGTGAAAAAGCAGAACAAGAAGCTCTTGAAGCACAGCAGCAAGCAGAGTCTGAGGCTGAAAATGGAGATAATGCTGATGGAGATACGGAAGACGGTTTGGAAGAAGAATATATCAGTGATGGAATAGCTAATGTGCCAACTCCCCCTGACAGTCCGCAAACATTTGTTAATCAACCGTTCAGTGGAGAAGTTGACCCAAAGATTGAAATGTTTGCTATTAAGAGTGGAAAGGGTAAGCAATTTACTTTTTATATATAAAATTCAGCAATAATAATGAATAGTAATAAAGATTAAGAAAAATCCAACAATTCCTAGCTTTGTCTATAGCTATTAATATGCTTGATGGTAAAATTATGATTGTATTGTATTATGAAAGAGTTTTTTGTGGTACTCTAATAAACCATACTATTCTTGCATAACAATGACAGTATATGTCTAGAAAACCAAAAGTCAAAATAGCTACAATTGAAAGAAAAGAAAGAAAAGGTGAAGGAGTAAGTGTAAGGTAAAAATACAAAATTCAGCAATAATAATGAATAGTAACAAAGATTAAGAAAAATTCAACGATTCCTAGCTTTGTCTATAGTTATTAATATGCCTGATGGTAAAATTATCCATATCCAAACCGGAAATTTTCAGCATTCATTGAACAAATTAGTGTTACTGTTGGATGAAATTCATAAACCCATCTTATTAAAAAAAATTTTTCAGAAAATTAGACATTTCCCCTTTTTTGACTTTAATTGTATTTTGAAAGGGTTTTTTACAACTGGGACATTTTCCCCCATTTTGGCTTTGATTGTATTGAAGGGGTTTTGAGACAAGGGCGTTTCTTTTGACTTTGATTATATTGTGAGTTTTTGCTTTTCTCTACATAATCTATGCTGTTTTGCTTCATTGATTTTGTTTTCAATTTTCAAAAGATATTTGTTTCTCCAAATATTACCTAGCTTTTTTCTTTGTTAGCTGTTTAATGTTTTTTTCTTCAATTTTTCCTTTTCTTTTATTTGTCTCTTTATGCTATCAGTTTTTTTTTTTTCAATTCAGTATTCTCATCCCAAGGGAAGATTCTTTTTCTATCTTGTTAGGTTAAGAATAGTCTTACATGCTTTCAATAAAGATACAATTACATTATTTTAGGTACCTTCACTAATTTTTGATACCTTGGTTTAAAATGAATTTTTATAAATGAAAAAGCTTTCTTGAAGCTTTCATTTTTAGCTTTAATTGAAAGCTGAATGATTAAATTTACTATTCCCAGTAAGCAAAATACTCTGGTGTATTTCAAACAGAAATTATATTGATTGGAATCTTTTTTTCTTTTCTAAAATAGCTGATTAGCACCTTTTTTAGCTGTCTTAGTTGTCTTTCATCACAATGTAATCTTCCAAAAATAAAATCTACTTCTCTGAAATTTTATTTTAGAAATGTTAGCTAATTTAAAGTATAATTAATCTGACTTGAAAAAAATATTATTTACTTTAAGTTTAAAATAAGAGAAATGGATTTTTAAAACAAGCAGTGGTGGTATTTACATACTTGTCATTGCTCATCAGACACGTAACAAGTGTTGATCTTTATATGTTAAAACATAATGTAAGAAAATAATGAGTGAGACCTTTTTTTTTTTATATAAATTTTTAAGTACTCAGTAATCTTAAATATGTTGGAAAATATTCTCCGTAATCTAATTTTAGGAATGTTGACTTTAAATATACTATTGTCATCACTCTTATTTTCTAATAGTGTCATGTATGATCGACTATACTTTTAAAAATGGGAATGTTACATAAGATTTTATATACATAAAAACAAAAAATATTTTAAAAATCATGATAAAAAGTAATTTCTACTAAGCTTTTCAATTTTTGATTAGTAAATATAGTTTTCACTTAATAACACTATCACCTAACCAGATGAAAGTAATGCAGAATTTTAAAAGATTTATAAATTGTTGTAGTTAAAATTAAAAAAAAAATGAAAACAATTCTTGTAAAAATTCATTATTCATTGAAAAAATGTTTTTTCTTATGACAATAATGTCTTTAAATCATTTATTTATAAAAGCAATTAAAAGTTTTTCTAATTAAATGTCATAATTTTATGACAATTTTTATTTTACGATTCAGAGCAGATTTTCAGGAAATGAGTAGGAGTTTTAAAAAATATTGATGATTAACATTTTCCAAGTAGTTCTGCTTCAAATTAATAAAAAGAAATTTTGATGAAAATTTAATTTCTTGAAATTTCATGAAATTAAGTAAAGGGGTTGGGGTAACATATGTAATATATATATATATATATATATATAAAATATGTTTTTTTTTTGCTACACAGTTCTAACCATGTTTCAAAAATGGAAGCTAAAAGCTTTGATTTTAATTTTGTAATTAAAGACATTAGTTCCATTTCATCCTCAAGCGAATTTTGGAGTAACTTATTTATTACTGGGTTTTAAAGGCACAGCAAAAATCTTAATTCACGTTTCCAAGGATACAGAGAAATCCATTCATCCAGACAAGGGGTGTTTGCACGTTCATTATCACTGTATCTTGTTGTATCAGTTATTAGTTACGTTTTGGTAGGGGTAGGGACGTATTTTTCAATGAATTCTGACATCTGTTAAATGCATGTCATCTGGATTTTTTTTTAAATTTATTGTTGATGGCAAAAATTCTTACGGCATTTTTTTCTATTTGTATACTTAAAGATTTTTGGGGGTTGTTTAGGTTAGAATATGTTTTATTTAACTACGATTTTAAAAAAATAATTTCACTTTTAATTTTTAATATACTATATTTCTCTTTAAAACAAGTAAATGTATTAGAATCACTTACAGTATATAAAATTATTTTCACATCAAGTATAAGTATGTATATTACTAGGTCACATTTTTTTAAATTAAACTTTCAAGAATTATTCACAAATGAATGAGATTAATTCTGAAAATCTTGCTAAATATTTTATTTATATATATATATATATATATATATATATATATATATATATATAATAAATAAAGAGAAAAGAACAGTAAGATATATAATCCGGTGTTCTTATAGATATTTTTATTTTTACAAAATAGTGCTCAATGTAAATTTACAGAGCCTTAATATTATAAATGGCTGATTAAAACAAAAACAAAGGAATATAGCAATTAGAAAAGTTACATTTGCATTGTAATGTCATGTCATGGGATTCTCTTTTGCCTTAGTTTTTAAAAAGGAACATTCTAAAATTGTTAATTGATCATTTTTTAATTTTATTTTTTATTTTTTCAGAAGACAAACAGGAAATATATTTCCTAGCCATGGTGGACATTCTCACCAAGTATGGAATGAAGAAACGGACAGCTCAAGCTGCCAAAACTGTCAAGCACGGTGCTGGTGCTGAGATTTCAACAGTGCGTCCAGACCAGTATGCCAAGCGATTTGTGGAGTTCATTGACCGTTCCATTGAATAAAGGGCATTTTGAAAAGCAGCACAGCGGGATGGTCAAGGTTTAATAACTGCTGCAACCGTAACGGTTAAAGAAGCACACCCACATTTAATCCTTGACCCCTCTCCAATTTCTTCCTTTAGTCACTGCTACCAGACAAATTCTCCAGATATTAATGGCTGCTGATGCTTGCTGCCCGGGTTTTTTGGGAGGACAGGGGATATACATCACTTCCTTTCTCCTCTTGCCAGTATGTCTCTGTCCAAATTATTCTGTATCATTGTCTATTGTCTATATCCATACATGGATTGATGAGTGCATGCATGCGTGTATGTGTGTGTGTGTGCATGTTTGTCTGTGGTGGGTGGAATACACAAGCTCTATGACTTGTGAGGAGGTGGGTGATAATGTTTGTAATAAAAGTTAATTACACACCTCCTCTAAAAAGTACTCCCCCAATACACAACTAGCCTCAAATTCTGGATCTGCATTTTTCAACAACTGTTTTCGTTTTCTTTCTCTCTCTCAAAGGTTGAAGGAAAATACGAAAAATAATCTGACGAATTTGATAAGAACAAAAAATCTAATTGTTCAGAAACAGTAATTGTCCCTTTTATCAGCAGAAAGCTAGACAAAATGAATGGTTACATGACTCAAATATTTAAACCCTTCACCTTCGTAATAAGAAAAATCTGTATAAAACAGAGGTGGCCGAAATATTTTTTCTGCTCTTATGAAAATTTGTCTGTATAGTTTTATTTTCTGTGCTTTCTCCATCTTTGCTAAGTTTGTTAAACTATAAATCAGTTACCAATATGAGGCATGGTTAACAAAAAAAACAAAAAACTTTTTCCTAAAATCTGATTGTCAAACATTCATTATAACTTGTACTGATATATGTGGGGAGGTTGTGAAAGGAAGATGAGGAAAAAAAAAAAAAAAATGCCAAAAAACTGTTTAAACTTCCCACCTCCATGAACCCTCTTGATGGACTGCTGCAAAAAAAAATTTTTAAAACATCAAAATGATGACAGTAAACACTAAATATACATTTGATTTTGTGGGGAAATTCTCCCACCTACTTCCACCATTAGTACAGTAAAGCAATCCCTATTATATTACCAAAAGCTTAATGGCTTTCTTGTGTGGCTGATTTGAGAACTTTGGTTGGCCGCTATAAAATTTGCCTACCTGTTTTACCTCTGTGTGTGGCGATATATATATACACAACACACCAAAGGTTCAGTTTGTTGTGAAGAATCAGCTTTATTATCTCCCCTCCTTATAGGGACGCAACCATTGTTACCTCCCTTGGTATAATGGTTGTCAGTGTGTGTGTGGGTGCGCGCGTGCGTGTGTGTGGGTGGGTTGTTCAAGATTCATGCACTTTACTATTAAGGCATCCAATTATTTACTTTCTCTCTTGTGTTTTGGTTGTCTTTTAGTTTTTCTCTCTCTTCGTTTGGGGTTAACTTTATTGCATGTATGTATGCATGTATGTATGAGTCTGTCTTGTCTTCTTGTCTGTCTTTCTACCTTTTCATTCCCTCCCCCACATCAGTTCTTGAACATTTATTTTTTAAACCCCCTCCCACTTGGCTCTCTGATTAAGTGATGCTGTATATTTCTCTGTCGACATTTATAACGTCTGTACATAGCAGGGTTGGTTAGTTCAGCATTTGGACACTGTCTGTTGTCTAACTTTTGAAGAAAGCCCAGCATGTTCTACATCCTTCATGCAAAACAGAAAAAAAAAAATGTTTCTACTGAATTCCAATGTTAATAATTATTAAAATCTTAGATGTTTGTTTGGGTTGAAATAGAAAGAGTGACAAATATTGACATTTGTAAAAAAAAAAATAAAAAAAATAATAAAAAAAAAAAATAAAAAAAAATAAAAAATAAATAAAAAGAGCACAAAAACTAAATACCCTGTGGCAAAATATTTCTTAATATGTCTGACTTGTTTAGTTAAAGAGAGCCCGTTTCTATTCATAACTGCTCAAATAATAAAGATTACAAAAAAGCTTCTATTCTGGAATGTGAAAAGAAGTTTGATTTTAGAAATAAATTCTTTTTTCTATTGTAAGATCAACAATTGGTTGGTGTGAGTGAATGGATATTTATTTCCCCTAACCCGAGATGCAAATAAAATGCATTTATCTCCCCTTTTTTTAAAAATCCGTATTCTGTTGTTTTCCTTTTCAGTAGCCTTGTCTGTGGATGATTATTATTTTCTAGAAAATGAAAATAAGCTGACCATCTTTTCTTTCACTTTGCATTTTCCTATTTATTTTTATAGAATAAAAAAACGGATTCTAAAAAATTAAAACATTATCCCAGAAATTATGATAATGAACAGGAAAAAAAGAGGACTGAATTTGAATTTTGAGAAATTTCAAATCTCACTTAAATTATGTTTGTTTTTTGTTTTTCCCATTAAATATTTCACCCAATAAAAGGCCAAAGAGCCGCTCAGAATAGATGGTTAGTGAATGAACTTGTTGGGTGGGCAGAAGAGAAAGAAGCGCAGTTTATGAAGATATGGAGGATATATAATTGTTGGACCTAGACTTGAAGAGACTAAGATTGCTGTTCCACAAAGTATCGGATCTTGGGAAGAAACTGAATGGAACTTCTTCCTTGCCAATGGAATATGAAGGAAATGAGGAGGATTTGACCCTGTGTAGGTCCAACCTGTAAACTGGTAGAGTCAAAGAATGTAATTTGAATGTTTTGTCATGAAAATGGTGATAGGGTAATTATAGGCTTGTGGCATTTCATCTATCAGAAGTGGCTGTAGAGTTGAAAGTAATTCATCACCCAAAAGGCCGTGTAAATACTCTGTCATGTCTTGAAAGTGAGATTTTATGGTCTGAACTGACTTGTGAAAATAAAGCATGGCAGATGGAATCAGTACTTTCTGGAGTTGCACAGGCACCTAACCATTTTTTTTTTCTTTCTTGGCATTTTTAGTGATGGATCATGTATTGTTATATAAGCACACACAAAATATCACAACTAATTGAAGAACTGCTTTTTTTTTCTTTTAAATCTTAAGTTTAAAGTTTTATCAGAAGCTGCTTAAACAGTTTGAGAGTATTTGACCTGGACAATAGTGATAAAACTCAGAAGTCTGAAATTTTTTTTTTTAAATTTTATAACAGGGAAGCTTGAAAGAAAGGTTTGTTATCCCTTTTGTATTTCCCTCATTATGAGCATTATTACATCTGTGATTTAATAACACTGTACTTCATGGTCTGAAAGGAATAGGAATCATAAACATGCTTTGTTCTCATATAGACTTTAATACCACTAAGACATTCACAACTATATATACATATTTACACATGTCCCATGCAGGGAAAATATATTACATATATCTGCACAGGAAGCAGAGTGAAAGGAGAATAAAAAGAAAGGCTCTTATATATAATATAGAGATTCTTTTATGTTTCTGGAGAAGCCATGTTTAGGACTTCAGATTCAAATGAGTTGGATTCATCTATGTCTCAGGTGAAAATATGTTCCACAAACAGGAAATGGCGAGTTTTTCCAAATTGAGGACTGCAAGCTGAAGTTTCTTTCTATATCTGGGGAAGATTGGGCACCTCGACATGGTGTAATGGTTAGCAAGCTTGTCTTGCTAGAACAATTATGACTTGGTAGTGAGTTCAATTCTCGCTGGGTGCTCCCCTAATTTCGGCCTTGTGCCACATCTAAGCTATACTTGGAAAATCACTGTATCTGGGGAAGATATATTCCCAAAGGGAAATGGCACCATGGACTTGTAAACTGCTAGGAGAGGCAGATTTAGCCTCCAGCCCAAGCCAAAAAAGAAACCGCTCAGTTTGGCTACTGTAAACTGAATGAACGACTGACCACTTTTGTCACTGTATGAAGTTATGTCAGTAAGCGGCTGTTACATGAGTTATCTTGATCAAAGGGAGATAATTGCCTTTTGTAGCTTTGCAATTTCATCACAAGCAAGGTGATAATGCTACCAATATGCAAGGAGTTATTGATAATGAGAAGAATTTAGTGAAGAGAAAGGACAATAAAAGAACAATTCAAGAAGATGCTGATGGACATTGCATTTAAATTTTTGAGATCCTAGGTGGCAGTGAAGATAGCAGATGCTAGTTCAGTAAGTGAGAAAGAAGTTGAGTAATTATCATTGTTATTATACTCTGATTTACTGAGTTGTTGTCATTAAATCATTTTCAGCTATTTTGGCAACCAATCTTCTTTAGGTGTCTGTCATTTTCTATCAAACCCATAGATTGCCCATGAGAACAGCTGGAGAAAATTATTCTTAGTTAATTGTTGCTTGTCTCTTCCAATGAACCAGACTATATGATTTTATTGGGCAGCTTCAGGCCCAGATATGGCATCAGTACTCCATTTTTGGTCTGATCTGGCTTTTTTAAAAATATAGCAGAAGTCCGGTATTTTCTGGTGCGGTACAGGGAACTGATATATTCCAGTGTCTTTAGTGACGGATTGTACATACAAGTTCCACTTGAGATCGAGTCTGAATACATGTTTCAAGCAAAGATACCCACAACCACAACTGTTGAACATGACTGGAGAAAACTGAGAGGGTCTGCTCTTTGACGATGAAACATTTACTAAGTTTTGGAGGTATTTAATGTTACAAGGTCTCCCCCCACCCCCAATTGAGCTGTGTGTGCAATATCAGAGAAAGGGCTCAACTACCAGGTTCTGGTTATCTGGATTTTTTGTGGTGATCCAATAAGCCATGCTGTTCTCTGCATAACAATGACAGTATATGTCTAGAAAACTGGAAGTCAAAATGGCTACATGTGAAGTGAAAAAAAAATGATGAAAAGAACAAATAACTACGCAGACAGGCATGAATGCATATACACACACACACTATGAAAAAAAAAAACTTTGCACCAATGAAAAATGCATATAAAAAAAACAATCGAGATGTGTAAGCAGTCAATTGCTGATACACCCTGACGAATGGATGGAGTGATTCCTGGAGGGTCTGTCTA